GCTTGGTTGTCTGTCTCTAAGTGTAGCCCTGTGATAGACTGGTTACCTGTCCAGGTGAACCTGCCTTCACCCTGAGTCAGCTGGGATAGACTCCGCCCCCCATGACCCTGGTGAGGATGAAGGTGTAGATGATGGATGGATGGATGCTCTTGATTTATCCTGCCTTCAACCAGGTACAATCATCCTACAGTCACAGCGCTCTGCGTATTCACAGCCTGTCATGACAACTATCTGTGTGCTTCCTTAATTACACCTCATTATTTATGCAAGCAAGTAGGTCAGGAGCAGCATCAATAATGAATACGCCACAAATCTGCTTTCTGTATACTTTATGTAGATACACGTAATGTACAACGTGACCAATAGCTTTCACAGAGAATATAAAAGTTAACTGTAGAAGATAATATTGTGCCCTGACCACAAGGCTTTCGTTTTATTTTACAATCACATAGAAAACTACTGGTGTTTTTGACATCATTATCAATTCTACCATCATCATCATCATCATCATCATCATCACTGATAGCACTGTACATCATCACACATCTATTTTACCATAATCTTCATCAGTATCTTTAATACAACCACCTTCCTCACGCGTCAGTCATGGCTTTTTACCAGGTTTGTCACAGTTATTGACCAATATTCTTATCACAATCATCAATATCATAGATTTTCTAATGATTATGTTTAAGGCTTTTTTTGTAAAGAAGACCCCAAACTTCTGCTGATGCAAACTGCTGCTCAGCTCAAACACAGAGTGTGCATACTACAACGAAGAGACCAGAAACCTATACATCATATATACACACATAACTTAAGCATACGTTGTTTTAACATTTACAGGTAGTAATAAACCGTTTCACAAATGAAAATAAATACAAAAATGATAGCTGGTTATTATATAGAAATTCTTAAAGAGGAACACAAACGCAAGCAAGAATCTTTAGAAGTACAAACCAAATGCAAACAGGATCACAACAACACGCCGACCTTCACTGACATAGGCCATAGACAAGAACGAAAAAGAGAAGGAAAAAAATGAAAGCTTCATTGGACTGGTACCTATCGGGCCATTGCAGAGCCGTAAATAAAACCCACCCAGGAGGCTGGAAAGCCTTTCTGAGACCAAAGTGCTTTTAAAGTTATAATCCTTACGATAAGAATGACGTCAGATCCCGTTTCTATACGTTTAGTGGCTGGAAGTGTTTAGATGAGCTCAGTGTGAGCTGAGCATGAAGGGATTGTCGTCCACACATGGTGACCGGACATCTCTGCTGCTCTCTGCTGCCTTTAATCAGACGCCACACATGCAACATTTATTTCTCTTTTTCTAAACCTGCTGATTGTTTTTATTTTTTGCCAGACCAGGTGGTCGATGAAGAGTTTCAGGCAGAAACCCACGTGAGCCCAGTTTCAGCTCTTTAAACGGCTGCTGGGCTGCTCTGAACACCAAACCGGCCGCTCTTTTGTTCTATTTGATGTAAGTGAATGATCGATGCTGCCAAATCAGCCAGCGCTGGAATCGTAAGGACTGCAACTTCATGTCCAAAAAGCAAGTTCAATCGGAAGCTTCAGCAAAAGCACCTTTGCTACTCAAACAAAATAAAAAAGTATGCACATTTCAAAATTCTCTGCTCCAAACAAATAAATGAAATCAGCCCAGCTGACTCCAGACTGTAGCGCTGCACTGGGAGCCTAAAGGTCAGCCAGCTCCTTCTGAGGTTGCTCTGAGCAGCCGAGGCACCTGGAGAGAAGAATCCAGCACCAGAGTGAGATGACGACACGGTCGACACGATTCACCTCCACCTCCGTCTTCTGGCTCCAGAAGTCGCTCCGTGCAGATGGCCGCACATCTCTGATTTTGAATTACAACAACCTTTTCATAAAGCACAGTGGAGGGAACACTTGCATCACTGTTTGCACCCACACTGTAGATGCTGTGTGCACTGATAGCATGCACACCGCTGCATTCACACAGACACAAACATTGGTCTATAGTAACCCACATGCATGCATGTGCACCTGAAACATGGCAGTTGTGCTTTTGGGAAACTTCTGATGACCATGAGTGGGGAGGTAGGGGGTGTGTGAGATGTGAAGAAACAATCCGGCTGGATGGTTGTTGTGCTGCTCCGTGCAACTATCTGAGTTTGCTGGAGCTCTGCTGTTCCTCAGCGGTGAGTGATGTCTCCCCAACTAAAGCACAGGACTGGTAGACCGTCCAGAGGAGACACTGAGGTTTGTCTTCAGGGCTGAAGTCAGCTTTGCACTGTGTGGTTTGTGTGTTTATGAGCTGAAGGAGAGAAAGATGGAGGTCTGGAGGCTGACAGGATCGTCCCCGTTCACTTCTTGTTGGCGATGCGTCTCTTCCTGGTGGCCAGCATGTCGTAGAAGGGGTCTCTGCTAATGCTGGCCCTGGAGAAGCCAATCAAAGGACAGCGATGAAATAAATAAGAAGGCCACATGAGAGGAGGGTCTCAAACATCTTTGATATGGAAATGTAGGCACATTTATACAAACCCCTGCCTTAACTAGATCAAAAAAAAAAAAGGAAAAGTTTGTGCAGTGACCTAGTTTGGTTTCCATGGTTTCTGAAGAGGAACACACCCCCCTCGCCAGGTTTTTTTCTTGGTACTGGGGTTTGTTGGAACCTCTCACCGATTCCCTCCTCCAGAACCCTGCCAAGAACGTAGTAAAACATACAATCGCACAATCTCCCGCTCGCTGCTCGGCAGGTTTATAGGTCTGAAGGAGGGCGAACAATAGCGCTCCAGATTAGCGACTCTTCTGCGTTCCCGCGTTCCCCTTTTCTTACGCGGCGATGGAAAGGCGGCGCACAATGGGAGCGAGTGAGTCAGGAAGCCATTTGGGCTCCACTGAGAAGCCCAGTTTCACGGCTGCTAAATCCCGTTAGCACCAGCACAAAGCGAGAAGAGGCTCAACCCCCCACTGCGGATATCTCTGATTCCCTTTATAAAGCCACGCGATGAAGAATGACTCCGTGTACGATCACTATCCCCCTCTTTCACGCAGCTCATTGTCGCTTTCAACAACCTAATTTCGTGAAACAATAACTCACTATGGTGTGATCAAACCCACGCGAGGCTGCCGGTTTTTTCCATTTTTCTACATTTCTGCCCTTCAAAGAAAGCCCCGACGTGTTGACACAGTTTGGACTTGATCATTGCATTAATTCATGAGACAACAACCCACTTGCTCAGCTGACCTACTTGGTCCAGCAACATCTGGGTTTGTGTGTTTGTGACTCAAGATGAGCAGATAGCACTTCTCTGATCATCTCTCTGCTCTAGAAGAAGGAAAAATCATCATTTCCATAAAAAACCTTTTATCTTCTGGGACCCCTCTGGTGAAGCTGGTGTAGCCTCCGTGAATGCGGCGGCCCAGCGTCGGGTTTGCTGGCTCACCCCAGTGACTAATCCCCATCATCTCCCCTCTGAATGCTCTCTGATAGTACGGCGAGAGCAGGATTGCACTACGTTACAGTACACAAGCGCTGCGTTCTGCTGAGCCAACTCTTGGTGACATTGCACCACCTTCTACGCAGGAGATTACAGAGCATCTGGCGTTTATGTCACAAACAGCAAGGTTATAATTACTGCAGGAGCTATGTATGGAATCCATGGATGGGAAGAAACCGCACGTTCAAAGAAACGCTGCATAGAGTGGCTGAGATTTAAGGCTGTTAAAAACTCTCTCAGCACATTTCGAAATCCAAGTCACACAATTTGTGAACTGTTTTTTTTTTTTTTAAAAAAACAAGATAACATCCAACCAATGAAACTAAGCTGCACTGATCACGTGACACAGAATTACAGGTACAACAAGACAACATCCTCGTTGTCCTGGATGTTAAATCTGAATTTTTAGACATTTAATTTAGCATCTAATCTGTACTATTGAATTTGAACAGCTTGAACATGTGTGATTTGTATTCGTAAAACGTGATTCTTTCATTTTGAATTTGTAAAAAAACAAAAGTGAAAATAGTTTTTTGAGTTGAGCTCAGATGCATCCAGGTCACAGTGATCCTGAGAGCATCACTAAAAAACAGCTCAGCTTCTCCTTCAGGTTCTTGAAGAAGCTCATGTAGAAGATTTCAGGTGAAACATCTCCAAGAACCTAAAAGAGGAGTCCAGTTGGTTTTTACGAAAGCGCTTCAAAGTTCTTTTAAATTTTAAAATGTGATGAGACGGATTCATTTCCACAAAAAACAGAAACAGCGGTTTGTTTCTTGTGATGCTCTTAAATCCCAACATGTCCCAGAATGCCAAACTCTTCCCTTTGATTACGTCATTGACATTTTGGGAGCAACATTTTGTAAATATGCTTATGTACCTACTTGTAGACAGTTAGATTAAAAGATTGATATCACTCTCATGTCTGAAGGCCAAATGTGAAGCTAAAGGCAGCAGCCGGTTAGCTTAGCACAAACACTGTAAACACTAGGAAACTGCTAGCCTGGCCCTGTACAGCCCCATAACTAATACTTCATATGTGTGTGTGTGTGTGTGTGTGTGTGTGTGCATATATATATACACACACACACAGTTGTGACTTGCTAACACTAAATGTAAAACCTTCTTCTATGTCGGATATCAATGCTGTCGGATTGTCCAGACGGAGGTCCAGATACGAGGAGGGCTTGATGCTGGAAGGCTCATTAGTTGTTCATTATTGTTCATAGTTGTTATAATAACTAGTGTGTTAGAACACTACACATCGCTGGATTTCAGCCTAACTGACCAGTTTGTAACCCTAACCCATGGGGTGGAAGTGTCCAGAACACACAGGCAGTACTTGGCTGCTGATGCTAGTTTAGTTAGCGCTCACACTTCTGTTTCCTCCATCGGTGGCGGCGGGGGAGTGGCAGATACGCTCCACCGTTACCATCCATGTTTACTTCCATAAACACTGAGCACGCTCGCTGCGTGTGACGTCGTCGTGTCCTCTTCTGCGCATGCGGGACACTTTTGGCTCGTATGAAGTTCACACAGCAGATCACATACAAGTCGCATTGAAGTGGAAACGTGAAGGAAGTCACAAAGAAATCCTCATTGAGCATCAAGTCCTGCAGTGTGAACGTAGCCAATCTGTGGGATTGTTCAGTCAGATAATACGCCGTTATATATATATATATATATATTTCCTTACTTGATAGATTTGATCCACTCCTCCTTCTCCTCAGGCGTCGGCGCTGATATCCTGTAAACCACGTGGTTGCCCTCGACAACGCGGCCGTCCGCCTCCGTCTTGCAGGCTTTGATCACCTGACCCTTGTGATTGGGGTTGTAGAGCTCGAAACAGTTCTGGAGGAGGAGCAAAGAGCAAAGATGTGTTTTTACCGAGGGAACATTTAACAAACACGGTAACCAGGAGAAGAAGGACTCTGAGGCCGAGGGCTCTAATGAGGCAACACTCACAGGTTTCCTGGGCTCCTCCACCTCCCTGATGCTGAGATTCTCCAGTGGGATGATCCCACGAGGCTCCTTGTCCTGAAGGAGAGACGGAGAGGAGGAAGCAAAAACAACTGAGTGAATGCAAAGAAAGAGATGGGAAAGTGAATAGCAAGCAGCCAAAGAGGACAGAAGGCCAGACGGGGGAAGAGAGGGAAGAACAAGAGGAGCAGTGCATTAAAAACACATACGATGGAGCTAAGAAGCAAATAAACTGGAGTTTGTGTCGGACACAGAGGATAAATCCGCCATCATGTGATTTGCTGGCACTGAATGAGCCTCGTCCCTCCTCTCGTCCTCACTGCTGTTTGCTGGACCATATAATGTGAGCAGCAGCAGCAGCAGCAGCAGCTGCAGGGAGACCAGAGGACGGGACGTAGTCACAGCGTTCTGAAGGATAACACCAGGACGGTGCTGATGTAGCAGCAAGGACACAAAGCACTGATGCAACTCTGCAGGGACGGTGAGGGACACTAATAGACCAACAAGGGAAATGCAGGATTTAACAACCCGTGATAATCGTGACAATCAACAACCATTTATGAGAGTCTGGCCAGCGGAGGACTTCGCAGGACGCTAATGTGGTGAAGTTTTATTTCATCTGGTGGCTGAGGGGCAACCTTTACTGGCAGAGAGGCATTGTATGAATCTGTCTTGGTCTGAGACTCACGGTTGTGTATTCGAAGTAGTAGAGGCAGTTGTCTGTCAGGATGAACCACCGTCTCTTCCAGGTTTTCACTCGGCCTCCTGACAGGAAGAGAAAGACGAGACAGGAAGTGACACAGTGGTCATGTGATACCCGCTGTGTCTTCTTGTGCACTTTAAGAAGCAGGATTATATTATAAAGTACTACTCTATGAATTTTTGCTCCGAGTGAGAAAAATCACTCTAACAAATCCTAATTCAAGCACTAAAAAGACCAAACAACACAATTCCCTTTATTGGTTCTACACGTCGGCTCATTAGCTCACCGCTGGAATTCAATTTTCTTGCTCTTCAACCCCAAGAAAATGTCATGTGACAATCACTCACACACAATACTCCACATGCCGTTGACGAGTTCATTAAATTAGCACGCTTCCTGTGATCCTGCCCTACATGGAAAAGGCTGGCTGCAGATTTGTGCTTTTCTATTTAAAGTTTCTTCAAATACGCCCTGAGACACACAGTCGGGTTGATTTGACTAAAAATCCGACAGAAGAATTCATTCCCAAGTGGAATAACTTTGTGAGTAGATGTTCTGGGTGTTTGAGGCGACACCTCCTGAGAGCAAACACGGCGTTTCGGTTAAATGCTCTGTTTTGTTATTGCGGGACGGAGGCCTGAACGTAAATCACAGATAAGCGGGAAACTGCAGAAAGCTGGTTTGTGTGCGATTACGATCTACCGCCGCTACCTCCCCCAACTCCAAGCTCTGCTAAATGATGACTCAAGCAGCTGATAAATTATTTCACACTCAGCCTATTCATTTTTCAAGGATGAAACCTCGTTGGCTCTCAGGAGAAGCGAGCAAACTTGACATGAACCTAACGCGGCACCTAAAGCGCCCCTGAAGGAGCACACATACTGAACGGACTTCTGCAAACGACATCCAGAAAAAAACAGAGTGCAAATGTCCAGCACACCTTTTGTTTTTAGTCTCGTGTCAGAGAGAAACACCAGAGATGTGAAGCAGGGACACTGCGTTTCCTGTGTTTTTTGATTGTGTGTGCATTAGTTCCTCCAAATACCAACCTTTCCTTTTCCGTCCTGTCTCCATCACGGCCCCCCAGGAGCCTCTAGGGGCCACACATGATTAGCAGAGCTCCAGGTTTCCTCACGTTTCCACAGATTCTGGCTATTGAATTAGCGCGGCCACATTTCCGCTCTGCGTAGCGAGAGATTTGCTAAAGAGGCATTTATTCCTCCACACCCTCCAGGGTTTATTTTTAGAGAGTGAAATTAGAAATATTACAGTGAGAACCGGTGAAACAGCTCCAGGGAGGAGTCGCAGCAGAATGTAATCATGTTGGGTCTGTGAGCCACCGTGGGGCTGTTTGCATTCGAGGCTACGGAGACGTCGCATGCAGTCAGAAGAAGGTGTGTTTTACTGTGGGATCTGCAGGAAACCACTGACGACTGAGACGCAACATGGAAGTTTACAATTTCAGATGATTCCAGAGGTTTGGGCATTTTTCCAGGACTTCAGCGAGATAACACGAGTCAACTGTGCTTCTTCTTTGCCGTTCTTTTCATTGACAGGCCCAAAGACTTGTGCAGGTCTGGGAACATGGAGAAAGCTTGCCATTTGCTAACAATGGAAACAGACATGGGGCATGCACACGACACGCCGTTTGCAGATATTTCAACGACATCAGTGCTCCTTCGGTCTCCAGTCATTGATTTAAAACCAAAAAACTCATCTCGGTGTTTTAAAATTGTATATTTCGAAGGTTTTCCAATAAAATTAAAGTGGCTTCGATAGAACTCCACAAGGTTGCTTCCTTTAGAAGTCCTAAAACGAGCTGACCAACAACTGCAAAAATACACTTTTTTACACAAAGGCAAGTTAGTAATTCAGTCATACGTGTTCAAACCAATTGTGAAGAAGAAGAATATGGAAAGTCCCACCACACCAGTTTCCTGGGTCGGTTTCTCAGATCTGTCATACATCAAACCCTGGAAGTCTGAATCGTCTTCTGTCAGCACACTGCAATTTGAAGGTGAAAATGCTCAGCCATGTTAACAATACATCCTCCAGCATATCAGAAGACACCATACGGCCATGCTGACGACCTTTGTGTTCAGTGGAGAGGGTCTAATATCTCCTACCGGTGACGTCTCATCCAGCGGAAACACCTCACCACCAATAGGAGCGACCCGCGCTTTAAATTCTTTGATGAATGAAGCCACAGTTGTGCAGCGAAAAATGCAACGGTAACCAAATTAAGTCCTGCAGGACGTCCTGCATTCCCTCAGCAGCTCCATCTGATTGCCACTAACCTAATTTGAGCAGCCAGCCTTCTCTGTCTGGGTTGAAGAACGTGTGCGTCAGGTCATTGCCGTCGTCCTCTGGGATCTTAAAGGGTTCGCTCTTGATGCTGTCGTATAGATTCTACGGTGGAGCAGAAACAGCATTAGTTGACATTAAAACCTCCAGTCGACACTTCACATCGAACCGAGCCTTCAGATCAACGCTGCATCAAACACAAAATCTGTTTGGGTGTCGAGAAGCGAGAGACAAGTGTTCATAGCTCGATGACTCTGGGAGAGTTTTTAAGTGTTTTTTATAAATGAAGCCGATGGCACTGTGGTGCAGACGGCAGCCAGCAGCATGTGGGTACATTAACTTGTTTTTAAAGGTTTTTCTTAGAGGAAACACCAAAGATCATTAGCATCGGTAGCACATTCTGCCGAGCTGCAAATATCTCAATCAGTGAAGCGTGACTCTCTGCTTTGCATGATAGAGAACACACACACACATGTATATATATATACATGTGTGTAGATATTTATCATGATGTTGCACCTTTACCAACACAGTGCTTCAAATGCATGCTACCTGGGATATGTTTGTCTCAGCTCTCACCCTGAGTAGCTCCTCTGGGAGGTCTCCGCCCTCATTGATCCCTCTGTTCATGGAGATGAAGCGCTCCACCGGGGGCTTGTCTCTGACGTTGGGGTTGTGCAGGCTGGTGTTCAGCATAATGATGGCGAATGACAGGACGTAGCAGGTGTCTGTGGAGGTAACGGTACCCAGAGTCACCGGGGAGGCTACAGAACAGCACAAGGCTACATCTCCATCATGAATCAGTGTGGCAGAGAGTGCATTAGTTTGTGTGGTTCAAATCAGTGATATTATAATACTAGGGGGTGACAACAACAGGATCCAAGTGTATATTTATAGAACTAAAAACATCCAACTTGGCCATCCTGGTCCTTACATGACAGCACCGCAGCGCTGTCATTCATTTGTCAGCAGTCCATCAGTGCATTTTCTCATCATCAAATTTAGGACTCAGTCTAATAAAAAGGAGAATTTAATCAACAAAAAGCCCCCCACTGTGACACACAGACCTGTGCTCCACTGTCATAACTCCTGCTCACCATCCATCCACTCCAACCGGCCCGGTCCCCGTCCTCTGCACCGTGATTTATAACCCGGGCCTGGGAGATGACCAGTAAGTAAGTCTGGGGCTGTCGCTGCTGCACCACATCAATATTCATGAGCGGAGCTGTCACCTGTGTCCTCCTCCACAGAAGAGCAGCGAGCCGACGCTGCACTAATGACCGCTATTGACCGCTGATCGATTCCATTATCACCGCTGGAGACACGGCTGCTGATTGCACAGGGATTAGTGAGCGACGTACAAACCAGCAGAAAGCTAAATGACTTGAGCCAAGTTCAGACAAACCAGCTTCTGTCTGTGGATTCAGAGAGCGTTTCAGGAAAAGCTGAAGATTTAACAGCTGACTGTGAGGAAGACAGACAGTCAGAAGCATCGATCTGAGTCTGGGGTGGTCCGGCTGCCACATGCTATCTGCCCTGGACTGTCTGGCTGAGTCTGACTCATATGTCTGTCTGTCTGTGTGTGTGTGTGTGTGTGTGTGTGTGTGTGTGTGTGGTACCTGTGGACTGGAAGACGCCGGGATTGCACTGGCAGTACCTGGAGGCAAACGCCTCCATCATACGATCAATCTTCTGGGCTTCGCCAGGAAGTCTGAAGCTCCACAGAAACTGCCTGCACAAGCAGAGAGAGGCAGAAACTTTAATGACATGCCATGAAATATTGATGCAAATGTATATTACAGCTCATGGACGTCCGCTGTGCGTTACACACCTAATACACTGCTGGCCTCAGATATTTCTTTACATTGAGAGGAGCAGGAATCTGGGCAAAACATGAAGACGGCTTCACTTAGAGGGTTTTGAGTGCATGCAGGTGATCTTTATTGGGACGCTCCTCAGAATGTAGACCTTACATGGCCGTGCACAGAGAAAGTCCAGAGGTGTCTGCAGGGATGTAGATACTACAACTATATCAACACATCTGTGGAGTTCTTTCACATTTTGAACCTGACCTCTGACAGGATTTTAAACGAACCAATTGTCTGACTTCATAAGCAGCTGAGACTGAGGAGTCTTCTGCAACACTCAGTAACCTGAGGCATGAAAAAAAATAAAATGCAGCCTCTGCTTCATCTCTGTTTGATCACAGTGGTGGTGGGATGAGGCCTCCACCCTGAGCCAAGCTGGATCTGTTTTAGCTGCAACACAATACGACGTCATCTGCCACCAAACATGTAGATACGAGGAGATGTTTAACAGGCTGATGCTGAGTTTTAAAACCAGGACTTTAAACTGCTCTGTCGTGTTCTGGCATCTTTTAAGCCTTTTCACTAATGCATGGATTGTGTTCAACACCCACTTGAGGTCGGTTCTTTTTCTTTTTTCCCCTCAGTTTTGGTTGTTAGCTCACCTTAAGGCTTGAACAAGGTTGAGGTCTGCAAACTCGTGAAGCTCCACAAACGCCTGGAGGACCTTGATGTTGAAATCGTCCCTGGAGGAGACGAGAGCAGGGACACAAGCTTAGCTCTTTACACGTCTTCAAGTCGGATGAAAACAGAAGAAACAGGTTGACTGATTTACAGAAATGCAGTGACAGATTCATACATGTTTGCAAAGTCAAATCCTGCAGCCGCGTCACATCAATGCTAAATGAAAAGCCGCTGCGCTGGCTGACGTCTCTGTTGTTCTGTCAGGCCAATCAGCACCGACTTCCCTTCACTTATTTTAGTGTCTCGGCCTCCTGTCTCTGCTCTGCTCCATGAATCCAGACCACCAGTTTCCTGAGCACGTGCAGGAAAAGAAAGGTGGACGGAAAACAGAGGGAAAACCGGAGTGCTCACCGTTCGCCTAAGTAGTCCCCGATGACGGTTTTGTTGAGCCCCTCGCCCTTGTAGAGGAACTGTGCAATGTCCTCTGGGGTGTTCTGGAGAAGATCATTCTCCAGAAGAAACTGGATTCCCTGTTTTAAAAAAAGAACAGAAAACACACTTACAGTTGAATTCCCTGCTGTGGTCGGTGTTAGGAGCCCTGATGACTGGTTTTTATTTTAAAAGTGACCTTTTTAGGGTCCATGTTGAACTTCTTCCTCCCCATCGCGATCTGTTTGTTTCTTTGTGTGGTTTTGCTGCGACAAAAAAAACAAAACACCATCATTAGAAACATGGGTCACATGACAGGCGGGCGCGGCGCTGTTTGTTCAGTAGGTCAGCGTGTGCAGGGTTTGTCCGGGGGGCGTGCCATAACTCCGTTTATTCACTGAATTATGTCGAGCATGACGACACGTGACTCACTCTCTGTTTAGAGGAACGATATTCTTGTTTTAATGCGACTCTCTGCACGCAGCCCACGGGGAAACCTGCACCTTTGTGAATTCTCCCTGAGCGTCCCGAGTGCCCAGAACAGCCCGAGAACGTTTGCCAGCTGCACCTGAGACACACAACCTCACTCCAACTCGTCAGCCAATCAAACGAGAGCCTCCAAACACAGACTGTTGGCTGAGGTTTGGTGGGGGGACTGTCCCGCTTCACTCCTCAAACAATGGAGGATTAACACAAACGGACAAAAACGGCAGGCGTGAGCCTCCCAGAGAAGGAAAGCATAAGTCTGAATATCTTACAGAGACAAAAAAAAAAAAGAAAAAAAGAGCAAAAATAGTAAGGTGATCTGATTAATCATTTGAGTCCCAACATGTGAAATAATTTTTTTGGTTATTTAAATATTTATAAATAAATAAATATTTATAATTATTTATTTTAAATATAGTTATACTTTTAAATAAAATTAAGATTTTTTATTATTAATAAAATGAAATAATCATTATTAAATAAATATTTATTTAATAATATAATTAGATTTTTAAAGAAAATTAATATAATATTTCATTATTGATAAAATAATAAAACAAAATTGTTCTCATTTTTTATTTTATTTCTAATTTAAAATTTCAATATTTTCATTAAGAGACTGAACAATTGACATCAGTCGACAGAACAGACGACCAACAGAAAATCAGCGGGCAACTATTCTGATAAATGATTTTTCTGATGAAAGAACTGCTTTTCTGCTTGAGTCCGTTTTTAAAAAATCAAGATCTTTCATGGACAAAATGAGAAATCTGAACGTCATCCTGCTGTCTTGGTGAATTTTGATTTTTTAAATTTGTTTTATACAAATATTTCTGACATTTTAAAGGCAAAACTACTCAAAAATAAGTAATAAGTTGTTGAAGAAATAGGACTCACCTCTCCCCGACACATGTCAGCTGCTCAATCTCAGTCATGACTTCTGCAATCTCAAACTTCAGCCGCTGAAAGCAAAGAGCTCAGTCACTTGTTTGACACGCTGACGTTTGTATTCTCTCTATTCTGACAGAGCACGGTGCAGAAACAATCACACAGCAGCTACACACATCATCATTTGATGGTTTCATACAATTTAGCTGCAAAAAAATCATCCAAATGAAAGGTTTCATTACAGTTATTATCAACATCACAACCTCACATGCAGCATTTCTGCCTTTATTAGATGAACGAAGGCAACGACAAACAGCTGATGTCGTACTTTTCTGATACACTGAGACATCAAATGAAATCAAATAATCTAAATAACGTTCTGTGTGTCACATCAGACTCCTCTGACACACTTGAAGAACTTGTTTTACTAGTTCACAGAATCATTCGTCACCTTCGTTCGCTAACAAAAGTATCGTTACTCACTTCAATATCATCCAGAAGCTCTTTTTTCCTGCGTCGGATGTTCGACAGCTCATCCCTCTCCTCCAGAGACAGGTCCTCTGGCACTGGAACACATGGAGAGGGGCAGCGTTTACCAGGACGGATTAAATTCATTCACAGGGATTAAGCCTGACAGTGCATACCTGTTCGGTGAATACACCCCAGAGACACGACTTGTGACCTAAATCAATACACCGGCTCACAGAAGTGCCACTTCATTTCAAAACCCGGGATTAGGCACAGCGAAGGAGGTCCAGGCTGCTGTTTGCAGCCGTCTGTTCTCCTGCAGGTGTGTGTCACGCTGGAGGGACCCGGCTCAGCCTCGGTGTGTGTCCACACAGTGCTTTCATACATATGACAGTGAAACCTGGTGCATGTGTGGGTTTGTAGTTCAGAAGCGTTACCTGAGATGGTAAAAGGGAATTCAGCACACCAGAGTAGAAAATCGTTTAAATTACCCTCTTTCTCAGTCTGTCTGTTCACAGTTTGTCCATATTCATCAACTGGGACGTAACATTTCATCATTAGAGAGAGCCAATGCATTGAATAACGCTAACAAGTCAAACTACGTTTTGTTTGTCCATCGGTCCATCATGTATGCGCCGCTTCATCCTCACTACACCGGTCAACATTACCAGGGTGTCATAGTATTTAACGGTAGTATTTCACAATAACTGTTTCATCACTTTTCAGGCCTTAATTGTAATATAATACCTGAATTTTGAATTTTGCTGTAAAGTCAGTGCAGGCACGGTAACTACAGTCAGCTCTGTGTCAGCAGCATATTACCGACATTTCACTGCATTATTTCACAATGAAAT